GTCTTGCCGTCGCTGCCGCCCTCGCCTGCGCCGCCGTGTCGTCCCTGCGTCGAGGGTAGGCTGCGCGCCACCCCTCACTCCTCCTCCCTTCGTCCGGCCACCGAGCCTTTTGAGACGCTTCACTTGGACGTCTGGGGCTCAGCCCCTCGTCTAGGCCCTGAGCGTGAGCGTTACTTTCTGGTGGTAGTTGACGACTTCTCCCGCTACACCACAGTGTTCCCTCTGGCGAAGAAGTCTGAGGTGACTTCTACGCTGATCAGGTGGTTGCTCACCACTGAGGACACTCGTGGTCGTCGTGTCAGCTGTCTCCACTCCGACCGTGGGGGTGAGTTTCGCTCCGGCATTCTCGCTGGATTCTGTCGCGAGCAGGGCATTCGTCAGTCCTGGACGCTTCCAGAGTCCCCACAGCAGAATGGGGTTGCTGAGCGCCGCATAGGCCTGGTCATGGAGATCGCCCGCACCTCCCTGACTCACGCCTGTGCCCCCCATTTTCTGTGGCCCTACGCGGTCAGGTACGCCGCGCACCAGCTGAACCTCTGGCCACGTGTCTCTCGACCAGAGGTTTCACCGACCAGTCTTTGGACAGGGTCCCCTGGTGTTGCGTCGCGGTTTTGTGTCTGGGGGTGCTTGGCTCTTGTCCGCGACACCTCCGCGGACAAGCTCTCGCCTCGTGCCGTCCCCTGTGTCTTCCTTGGTTTCCCTGAGGACTCCTCTGACTTCACCTTTTACCACCCTCCCTCTCACCGGTTCTTTGACTCCCGTGACGTCCGTTTCGAGGAGTCCACTCCGTACTACGTCAGGTACCCCAGTCGAGGTCTCCCGGTTCCTCCTCCCCCCCTCTTCCTGACTGCCGTTCCCCCTCCTGCTCCCCCGGTACAGCCTCCCCCCCCTGGTCCAGCCCCGTCAGGTGTGTCCCAGGCTACCCCTCCTCCTTCGGTAGCCCCTCCGGTACAGCCTCCCTCCCCACAGTCCTCCTCGCAGCGTGCCGCTGGTGCTAGCTCTCGAGAGGTTGGTGCGGCGCCTGTTCCTGTACCGGTTTCTGGTTCTGGGGGTGCTGGAGTTGGAGCTGGAGTTGGAGCTGGAGTTGGCACTGGAGTTTCTGGTTCTGGGGGTGCTGGAGTTGGAGCTGGGGTTGGAGCTGGAGTTTCTGGTTCTGGAGTTGGAGCTGACCCGGTGGGTGCAGAGGACTCTTGTCGTCCGGGAGCTGGTGCTGGCCGCGCGGACACTGGGGGTGCTGCGTCTGGGGGTGAGGGTGCGCCTCCTTCGGGTTCAGGTGAGCCGGGTTCTGGAGCTGGTGTTAGTGCTGCCTCTGGGGGTGGTGCGCCTAGTTCTTCTGAGGTGGACTCTGGAGCTGCCGCTGCTTCGGACACTACTCCACCCCCCCACCCCTACCCGACTAGGCACCAGACTCGTGTTCGCCGTGCCCGTGACGAGCAGCTGGCGTTGGAGAGAGAGGAGAGGGAGTTACAGCGGCTGGAGGAGCAGCAGCAGCAGCTGGAGCCGCAGGAGCAGCAGCAGCAGCAGCAGCAGCAGCTGGACCCGCAGGAGCAGCAGTCCCAGCAGCAGCCGCGTCCGCAGCAGCAGCAGTCGCAGCCGCAGCAGCAGCAGCCACTTCCTCCTCCTGTCTCGGGTCTTCGGATCCTTGGTCTCCCCTCCCCTTCTCCTCCCTCCTCCGCCTCTCCTCCTGTCTACGGTCCCACGTTTCCTCCTCCTGACTCCTCCCCCGCTGTTTTCCCCAGTTCTCCGCCTTTGTCCTCTCCTCCTCCGTCTCGTTCTTGGGCTACTCGTCGCTCCCCTCGTGCTCGTCCCTCGTCTCCTGTTCCCTTCACTGACCTTCGTACTGCCTTCCTTCTTTCTAGTCCACCTCGTCCGTCTCAGTCTGTGCTTCCGTCTCCTCCTGAGTCGGCCCTCACTGTGTCGCTCCCTACTCCTGTCACTGACTACTACCGCACGTACCGTCCTGTTCTCTCTCGTGTTCTCGCCTCTCTTGTTACTCACCCTCGTGCCTCTGTGTCCTCTGTGTCCGCTCTTACTGCCGCAGTTACTGACTTTGCCTCTACCCGCCGCCTTGACTACGCCACCACGCTTGTGGCTGCTCCTCCTACCAGTCCTCTGGCCGTCGGGGGTGTGTCTGCCCTTGGCTGTGACGCCCTAGAGGACAGGCAGTTTGAGCTAGAGTTCCTGGCGGCCGCTTCCCCTCATCTCTGTGCCATGCTCCTCGCCCCTGAGGGTGACCCCGACGCCCTTGACATTCCGACTCCTCGCACTTACGCTGAGGCAGTGTCAGGGCCTTGGGCCTCTCAGTGGAGAGCTGCCATGGACGCAGAGATGGCCTCCTACAGATCCACAGGCACCTACGTCGATGAGGTTTCCCCCCCTGGGGCGAACGTAGTCGACGGCATGTGGATCTACAGGGTGAAGCGGCCACCGGGATCTCCCCCGGTCTTCAAGGCGCGCTACGTGGCTAGAGGTTTCAGTCAGCGCGAGGGAGTTGACTTCTTTCAGACCTTCGCACCTACCCCGAAGATGACCACTCTTCGGGTGTTACTACACGTAGCAGCACAGAGAGACTACGAGTTACACTCTCTCGACTTCTCCACTGCTTTCCTTCAGGGCAGCCTACACGAGGAGGTCTGGTTGCGTCGTCCCTCGGCCTTCACTGGCACCTTCCCTCCTGGGACCCAGTGGAGGCTGAGGCGACCTGTTTACGGTCTTCGCCAGGCCCCTCGTGAGTGGCACGACACTCTGCGTTCTACCCTCTCTGACCTTGGGTTCCAGCCGTCTTCTGCCGACCCGTCGCTGTTCGTTCGTCGTGGCTCCACACCGTTCTTTGTTTTGGTCTACGTCGACGACCTCGTTTTCGCCACTTTGGACAGGGTTGCTTTGGCAGACGTGAAGTCCGAACTGCAGAAGAGACACACGTGCACTGATCTTGGTGAGCTGCGCCACTACCTTGGCCTGCAGATCACCAGGGACAGAGCCGCTCGCACCATTACACTCTCACAGTCACACATGGTGCAGCAGGTCCTTCAGCGGTTCGGGCTTCAGCACTCCACCGTACAGCGCACACCTCTAGCTGTTGACCACAGACTCACTGGTCCCTTTCCTGACGAGCCGTTTGAGCCTAGTGGTCCCTACGCAGAGCTTGTGGGTTGCCTCATGTACCTGATGACTTGTACTCGCCCGGACCTCGCCTTCCCTCTCAGCATCCTTGCGCGCTTTGTTGCGCCAGGGAGACACCGTCCTGTTCACTGGACGGCAGCTTTGAGGGTGGCGAAGTACCTAGCGACTACATCAGGCGTGGGACTAGTTCTTGGAGGGCAGCAGTCTGTCGTACTCACTGGTCACTGTGACTCCTCTTACGCTGACGACGCTGAGACTCACAGGTCTACTCAGGGGTACTGTTTCAGTCTGGGTTCTGGAGCTGTTTCCTGGCGTTCCACGCGCTCCTCTTCTGTCTCGACCTCTACAGCTGAGGCTGAGATTTACGCTGGTGCCATGGCGGCACAGGAGTTACGGTGGTTGACCTTCTTGCTCGCCGACCTTGGTGAGCGGCCGAGCTCTGCACCGACCTTGTTTACTGACAACAAGGCGTCGATCCTCCTCTGTCGTGAGCCGCGACTGGAGAGCAGAGTGAAGCACATTCACGTCAGGTACTTTCTTCTGCGAGAGTTGCAGAGGCGTGGACAGGCTCGCTTCGAGTTTGTAGAGTCCGAGGCCAACACTGCAGACATCTTCACCAAGGCGCTTCCGCCTTGTGACCACCAGAGGTGTTGTGTGCAGTTAGGCCTTGTTGACACAGGTTCTAGTCATGCGTAGACTTGAGTTTATTGCCTGCTTCGTCTGTACACTTACTATATATACTTGTGATCTCTTGGACTGGCCTTGTGGCCACTGTTGCTTGTGCTCAGAGTGTGTGGTGACGTTGTGATCCACCCTGAGCTTTGTTTTCTTTTGGACTGGTCTTGTGACCGTACTCTTTTTGTTTTTGCTAGACACCCCTCACTTAGGCTATGGGGGTGTGTCAAATGTTGTAGCCTGTAGTGAGGTTTGTCTTAGGGGGTACAGAAGTTAGGGTTTGTCATATGTACCCCAACCAACATCAATGCAACATCCATTCCTCATTCTGACACAGGATTATATAAGAGTACAAGGAATGTGAAGAGATACAGTTATCACTGCTTTACTGTTGCTGTTGCGGTTCGATACAGTGACGACTCGGGCAACTGCTATGTAGCGAGTCAGTTGTGTGTCCTTGCTGTCGCGCTGTACTTGTCAGGTCAAAGGTCGCTGACCTTTGACTTTCGCATAACCTCCAGCAGTTACTTTAACCTCCGAGGGTTGACTCGCTGGTGCCTCGATATGCTTTGCTTCGCTTGTGCCTTGGTGTTTCGACACGACAGAGGCGCTTAAGCTCGATTGTTTCCAACAATTTGGACATCATAATGTGGCATTATTACGTGAGTGTAATAGAGCGTGTCAACTTACATATACAAACGCTAAGCCTTCGAAGCAGTGCCCACAACATGTGGTGCAAGCAGTGACAGCCCCGGGACCATCACCTCCCTTGCTTGCACCGCACCAAACCCTGCTAGCTTGATGAAAGTCAGAGGGCTGCGCGTGAGATGACACCCGTCTGCCAATGCAGATTGCAGTGGGTCCAACAGTCGTTGCCAAGTGTGCAGAGCGGTGCCCTGCGGTGCCGCCACGTGCTCCAGAAAGTAGTAGCTGGGGCAGGTCGATTTGACCGGAAAAATGACAGGAAAAAGGTAAAATGGAAAAGAGGGGGGAAAAGGAGGTAGAAAAAAACAGGGAGAATGGAGGACAAGAGAGAGATGCAGGTCTAGTGCTTGTCATTGGTAATTCCAGGGTCCTGCAAGGCCTGACAATTCTCCTGCTCCTGCTTTGCATCTTTCTTTGTTGCAGCACGCACGCACTGCTTTCGGCCCACACAGTCCAATGACCATGAGAGATCGCAGAATCACTCGGCTTTAAGCACTCTAAGCTTTAGTCGCTTGGCCAATCACGTGTGGGCTGATTAGCCATTGCCCTGGCAGCATCACCTCCCTAGCTTTAACTGCAGCGAAGCCTGATAGCTTGATGGTGGGGAGGGGGTTGCGAGTGATGTGACAGCCGTCGTATAGCAGGGGCTGTAAGAGGTCTAGGATGGATTGCCAGAGGTGCAGAGAGGTGCCTTGCGGTGCTGCTACATGCTCCAGAAAGTAGTAGCTGGACAGAAAGGGGGGAGGTATGGAGAAAAGAGACGGAAGCAGGAAGGGACAGCGGGGAGAAGGGTGGGAAGCAGTGGGAGAGGGGGGAATACAGGGGACAGGTGGGGAATAAGAGGAAAAAGGGAGAAGAGGTAAGAGGAGAGAGAAGAGAGTATTGAAAAGGAGACAAAATGGGAAGGATAGGAATAATACTCCTCCTCACCTTCCTCCAGGCTTGAGAATCCGCTTTATCTCGCTGACGCACTGCCTGACGTCAGCTACCGAACACAGCACCAGGGAACACACTACCACGTCAGCACAGCCGTCATCCAATGGGAGCGCTTCCCCCACTCCTTGAACAAATCGAAATCGGTTCCCTGCCAACCCTGCTGCTGCTGCCGACGCCTCTGCATATGGCTGCATCGACGGATTCGGATCTACACCCACAACCTCGAAACCTGGCGCAGATTGCGTCTGTAACGAGTCCTGGGTGTAGAAGCGGAAGTTGGGGCCCGCTCCAACACCGATCTCCACCAATCTAAAAACCGCATCGCTCCCTGATTCCACCATCCCTCCTCCTCTAACTGCTTCACCACTCTCCACTCCTGTTACTATACCGATTTCCGATCGAAGAGGCTCAAATAAAGCCAGCTTATACCCCTCTACACTCTCCTCATACTCCTTCATACCGGTCGCCATCATCCACGCGAATAGCTCCTCCTGCCACCGCCATTTCCCGCCCCGCACCGCCGCCAGCGCTGCTTGCGCCGCCTCCGCAGTTTGCGCGGAATCGGCTGCGTTTGCGGGGAGCGCGGAGGCGGAGAGGAGGAGTGAAGCGGAGATGAGCGCGCGGCGGGAGCAGATGGCGCAGGGGCAGGGGAGGGGCGCGGGGGGGAGCGGGGAGGGGGGCGGGTGCACGGCGGAAAGGGGCGAGGAGGGGTCCGTTGTTGCCGAGTGGCTGGATGATGGTAACGAATCTGCTCTTATCGTAGCGGAATGTACGCGAGAGTGACGGGTCCTGAAGGCGCATTGGTGTTTAGGACGGCATGAGAGGTTCGGAACCCCGCCATGCGTAGCCGACAAGCTCATTGGGAGGTTTGGCACGCCGCGGAAGGGGGATGCGGAGAGATGGGAGAGGCGCGCGCGGGGATTTGTGGAGACATGTGGAGAGCGTGCGGATAGAGTCGGGGTAAAAACGAAGAGATGCTGCGGCGTTGCGCAACGGGCGGGTGGACGGCAAAGCGCCATTCACGGCGAATCTGGTGTGGCGCAAGGAGGACGCGGATGTGTGGTAATGAGCTAATGTCTAAAAAATGTGTCAATTTGATTTCTCTGTTCAGGAATTTATGCATTTCTCGAGATTCTGGCTGGGGGAATGGGATGTGAATTGCGCTATGCGGGAGTAACCCGAGTTGCCATTTTCGCTGATTGCAGTACCACCGGCGATCATCGTCCCTGGCAAATTGGGTTTCGGCAACTGTGGTTACGAATTCAGATTTCTGAACCCTCCGTCATAGGATGACAGTCTCGCCAAGAAAAAACCTTGCCGTGCGTGTAAGTGAACAAGCTAATCATAAAGCAAACTCAGTTCTGTACAAGCAAACTGCATACAGCTCCTCCTATCTATATTCCTGCATTCAAAACGGTCTCGCATTTCGGCCCAAGCCGAGCCTCAGCCCCGGCCTCCCAGACCTTCTCCTTCGGTCCGTGAGTGCGTCAAGCAGACACAGCAATGCATCGTCTATGGCGTCTGCTGCTTTTGATAACTGTTGTGTGTCCATCTCCTCCCTTTCGCCAAGCTCACGCAAAAGGCTTGATGCTGCTGCTGCTGTGCACGTCTTGTCTTCTGCTGGTTGAGGCCTGACACACGAAGGCAAACGTGATGCAGTGCACATGGAAAGGGTAATATGAATTCATAACCCAGACAATTAGCACGCATTTTGACCATTCACACAAATGTATGCCAAAAAACGGAAGACTGATGCTGAGTAAAAAAACTGGTGAAGGGGCAGATCAGGGAGTGCATGACATGGCTTCAGTAAATGAAGCTACATATTTGATCAGCATTAAGGCAAGCGACCATCACCTAATGGCAAGTGAATGTTACCTGAGACCGTGCATGACTGATGGCTGTGGTGGTTGAAGAGACAGGAAAGGCAAGTCCCTCCCATCCCATGCCCTGTGTGCTGCTTCCTGCTCACAGAACAAGCCCGGGAATGCGAGTTGTGAGGACTTCAGAGCTTTCAGAAAGGTAATCAAGCCACATTCTGTGAGAACAGCTCATTGAACAAAACCCAGTACACACATGGAACAAACGAAGCCCACATAACAACACATGCAAATGCAGATGCCCCATCACATGCCACTGTGCCTTCACATGCATCTCACCTGAAACCTTCACCGTGCAATCATGACTGTGCCTTCATGGCCATGGGGTTTCTCTACGTGCCTTCAAGCACAGCCCATTTCAACCAGCCTTATGCGTCGGCAACACGAGACCAACCTTATGCCGTGCAATCATGATCTTCCACTTGCTTCCAATGCACGCACCTTGAGCCGGGCAGTCATGGCCTTGGAGTTGCTCCACGTGCCGTCAATGAGAATGAAGTGAAGCGGTGAAGGTGAGGATGACGGCGACAGCGATGCAGGCGCTGCACTGTCGGCTGCTGCTGCTGCCAGTGCCGCACCCCCTGCTGCCTCTGCTGCTGCTGCTGCTACCTCTGCTGCCCCCGAATCAGCAGCAGCACTACTAGTGCCATCAGCAGCGGCGGTGGTGCTGTGGTGCGACTCAATTTGTATCTGCTTCTTACTCGCTGGGGAGGACGAGGATGAGGAGGAGGAGAAGGAGGAGGGTATGTGCATAGACGGCACGGTATCGGGGGGAGGAGAGGACGCCGGGTACACACACCTCACGGAGTCAGGACCTGGTGCGAGGGAGGGAGAGACGGACAGGATAGAGTATATGTGAGGCCAGGGCGGTTGGGGGAGGCTGTTTTTGAGGCGCCTCAAAAACAGACAGGATAGTGTGTGTGTGAGGCTAGGGAGGGGAAGAGACTGGGTACACAACACACAGAGTATGTATAAAAGGCTGACGGGAGGGATGATGGTGGGAGGGAGGGACCACGAGTTACTGTGCATGTGAGCGTGTCGACACACCTAAAAAATCGCCTCACCTTCTCTCCTCGTGAGCGTTGATACTGAAGACACACAGCCGGGCACTCTCTCTCTTCGCAGCACTTGCCACCCCATACACACACAGCCGAACCGATCCAGCGTGCTGACACGCACTCCCTCGCCCACTCACAAACACACACAGCACCATCGCACTCACCTGCTCGCTTCAGCTCCGCCCACATGCGCTAGTCGCTGGCATTGATGCCAAACACACACAGCCGAGCAGCATGCGACAGCAGCTTGCCACAGCAGCTTGCCACACACTCTCTCTCTCCTACTTCAGAACATCTCAGTGACACAAGTACACAACGCACCCACCTGCTCGCTTCAGCTCAGCCCACATGCGCTCCTCGTGACCGTTGATGCCAAACACACACAGCACCCATCGCACTCACCTGCTCTCTTCAGCTCAGCCCACATTCACAGCTCGCTTCAGCTTGCGTCATTCCTTGTGACCGTTGATGCCGAATACACACACGAGCTAGTGTGGCGCACACACTCCGTCTCCCAAACCGGAAGCTTCCCTCTCCACAAGGTGAGGCAAGGCACATCCCTCTCTCTCACGGAAAAAGCACCCGTTGCACTCACCTGCTCGCTTCAGCTCATCCCACATTCGCTCTTCATGGGCGTTGATGCCAAACACACACAGCCGGGCACTCTCCCCCCCCAGCACCTGCCACAGCAGCTTGCCTCACACACTCCCTTTCCCCCTACCCACCACCTCCTCCAACGCCCTGATTCAAAGCACCTCATCTCACCTGCTCGCTTCAGCTCATCCCACATTCTCTCCTCGTGAGCGTTAATGCCAAACACACACAGCCGCGCACTCTCACCCCCCAGCACCTGCCACAGCAGCTTGCCCGTGTTGTTGCGCCGCAGAAAGTCCTGAAGGGGTGAAGACGGGGGACGGACAAGGATGTGAGGCACAGTCAGAGTGGGGGACAGTCAGAGTGGGGGACACGGGTGGGGGACACAGCAGACAGAGGGAACAGGGAGTGCTCGCCCCCCAGCACCTGCCATAGTAGCTTGCCCGTGTCGTGTTGTTGTGCCGCAGAGCGTCCTGTGAGTGAGAGGTTGGGGGGGGGCAGGGCAGCAAGGGGAATGGAGACACGGTAAGAGTGGCTGGGCAGCGAATGTGGGTTGGGGGGTGTTGTTACACACTCCTCCTTCCCCCCACCACCTGCCACAGAAGCTTGCCTGTGTTGTTTCGGCGCAGACATTCCTGAAGGGGTGAGGTGAGGGTGGGGCCAGCAGCGAGAAGCATTCGGATTTCAGGATGTCTGAGCTGACCCCATCGGTTTTTTGAGAATTCTGAATAACCAGATTCAGCATTCGGATTTGAGGATGTTTTTAGGAAGTGACTTTTGAGTCGACTCCAGAGTCACATCGGATATGAGCATCCCTGCGCCTGTTTTTTGAGAATTCTTAAAAACCAGATTCAGCATGTCCCTCATCAGGTGGTGAGGGATGTCCCTCAGGCTACTCTGAGCATATGCGGCTTCGTCCCTGTGCTGTGCATACGGGTTGAGAGAGGAACAAAGGGAGATGGAATTATGGGCAGTTCTTGTCTGCTACTGTTCTTGACACATGCACAGCACAGGGAGGAAGCCCCATATGAATAATCAGGAGGGGAGTCTCGGTTTTTGGCAGAGCCAGAGCAGTGCGAGTTGAGGAGCCTCGGTTTTTTTATTATGACGAGTACAGGAGGGCTCATCTCATCTGACCTTTGCCGACTTTTGAGGCGCCTCAAAAAGGATACTTTTGAGAATTCACAAAAGTGACACTCGAGCCGGAGATGAGAGGGAGAGACCAACCAAATGACCACGTTAATCAGCACGGAACCTCACATCTGATTATAACGAGTACAAGAGCACTCAGCTCACCTGAGGGTGCATGTAGAGCCAGATGACCACGTTGCTCAGCAGCAATGCGCGGGGCGTTGAACCTGACTATAACGAGTACAGAAAGGAAGGGAAGTCTTTTCACCTTGGGGTGCATGTAAAGCCAGATGACCACGTTGCTCAGCAAAGAAGGGTTGGGCGAGACCTCGTCACACGTGCAGTCCCCTCGTGGTAACCAGCACTGCAAGGAGCAGGGTGATTCAAATGCGGAGGAGGTATTGGTGGGATGCGGTCCGGAAGACACATCATGGGTTGGAAGGGGTTGGGCGACAACACCTCGTCACACGTGCAGTCGCCTCGTGGTAACCAGCACTGCCGGCAGGGAGGGTGGATTGGTGGGGGCGGGGGGGAAGGGAGGGAGATGAGGAAGAGTCTCAGGGTGACTTTTGAGTCGACTCAAAAGGCGTCTCAGGGTGACTTTTGAGTCGACTCAAAAGGCGTCTCAGGGTGACTTTTGAGTCGACTCAAAAGGCGTCTCAGGGTGACTTTTGAGTCGACTCAAAAGGCGTCTCAGGGTGACTTTTGAGTCGACTCAAAAGGCGTCTCAGGGTGACTTTTGAGTCGACTCAAAAGGCGTCTCAGGGTGAGAGCCTGGGTTGTAAGCCTCATCACACGTGCAGTCGCCTCGTGGTGGCCAGGATTGGCGGCAGGAAAGTGTGAATCAATGGAGTGAGGGGGGAGAGAGGTGTGGGGGGAGTATGGGGAAAAGGATGAGGGTGAGAGTCTGAGTTGGGAGCAGAGCAGGGAGGGGTTGGGCGAGACCTCATCACACGTGCAGTCAGCCCGTGGTAACCAGCATTGCCGCCAGGGAGGGCAAACCCTGCCCACGGGAGGGGGAAGATGTTGGGAGTAAGAGACTGGTTGGGAGTTGAATGCGGTTGGGTTAGGTGACACCTCATCGCACGTGCAGTCCGCTCGTGGTGGCCAGCACTGCCGGCAAGGAGGGTGGATCGGGAGGGAAGGGGGACGAGGTTGAGGGTGAGCGTCTGGGTTGAAACCTGGAGGGACGTCTGAGAGAGACACCTTGCATGACCGTCATGAACCCACACCACACCACACCACACCACACCACACCACACCACACCACACCACCACAGCACAGCACAGCACACCCGCGCACCTGCCTGCACGCCCCCCTATAAGCAGTAGTTAGCACCGCCATATGCCGCGCAGCAAAGGCACACAAACAACCCTCCCCGGTCGCCCCAGAGACTGCATGCACTGCAACATTCACCACACCACACCGCACCGCACCCAACCATACCATCCCCCACTCATACTCACCGCCATCTGCAGCACAGCAAAGGCAGGCAGAAGAACAGACAGCCCACCCCATCCGCCCCTGAGACTGCCTGCATGCACTGCAACATACGGCAGAGCACAGCACACACACATAGCACACCCACGCACCTCTCTGCACGCCCCTCTGTACGCTGTAATCAGCTTCGCCGCCATACACTGAGCAGCAGAGGCGCGAACAGCCTTCCCCGTCCGCCCATGGGCTGCATGCACTGCAACATACACTGCACTGCACCACACCGCACTGCACCGCATAACACACCCACGCACCTCTCTGCACGCCCCTCAATAAGCAATCAGCTTCACCACCACCTGCCGCGCAGCGAAGGCGCGCAAACAGCCAGACAGCCCTCCCCGTGTAAACCCACGGGATGCATGCACTGCAACATACAGCACAGCACACCGCACAGCACACTCACCCACCTCTCTGCACGCCCCTCTATAAGCAGTAATCAGCTTCACCGCCATCTGCCGAGCAGCAAAAGCGCGCAAACAGCCCTCCCCGTCACTCCTCTTCCTCTCTCGACTCAAGTAGGCCACACGAAACCATGCCTCTATGGCCTCTGCTCCTGGGCTCTGAAAGAGATGGGGAGGACGGAGATGGAGTGGGAGATGGGTTGACGAGAGGTGGGAAGTCGTCTCTGGGGTACGCCATGCGGAACCACGCCTCTATGGCCTCTGCTCCGGGCCTCTGATGGGGACGTGGAGGGGTGTTGAGAGGTGAGAGCTGCCCGCTTCCTCTCTCTCTGCTGAGGTAGGCCACGCGGAACCACGCTTCTACTGCTTGTGCTCCTGGGCTCTGATGGGGGGAGCGGGGAGGGTGGAGAGCACGTGGAGAGGGGAATGGGGGGAATACGTGGTGCGAGAATGAGAAACACCCTCTTCCTCTAGCGGGTACGCTATGCGAAACCACGCCTCTATCGCCTCTGCTCATGGGCTCTGACGGGGGGAGGGTTGGGAGGCAACGTGGAGGTTGAGAATCGAGAGATGGGGGGGCACTTACATATTCTATAATAAATCTAAAAATAAGAATAAAACTTCAAATAAAAGGGGTACGGGTACCTGTTTCACGCCACTCCAGCTGAAATAAAAACTCGATTTCCACACAAACTCTCAAACACTCTCAAACTCTCTCAAGCGAACCAACTACCTACAATCTGCCTTCGAACGCTTGCCAAACGATTAATTGTTGGATTAGAAGGTTTGAGAGATTTCAACACACGTGTCCCACGGAAACCGAGTAGTACCCGCCTCCCGGACAGCGAGGTGCCGGCTTGGCTGAAACGGCTTAAGAGGTAGTGGGGCATTAGGGCCCTGCGACACAATTTTACTACAAGAAAAGCTGTGGCATTGTCGGTGCCAAGTGAATTTTCGCTGGCCTCGTGGCCAACCGACCTTTGGGCTAGGCGGTGTATGATCACAACACGACAACTAAATCCGATATGCTGCGAACCACAGTTAGTGGGATGGGAAGTACAGACACTATATGGTACAAACACTATTTAGTGATCTGTACTTCCCACTAGCCGTGGTTCATTGCAGATCAGTTTCCAGTTGTCAGATTGTGACCATATCCCGCCTAGCCCAAAGGTTGGCGAGCCACGAGGCTGACGAAGGTTCACCTGATACCGACAATGCCACACCTTTTACTGTAGTAAGATGGTGTCGCAGGGCCCCAATGCCCCACTACCTCTTAGGCCGCTTCAACCAACCCGGCACCTTGCTATCCGGGAGGCGGGTACTACACGGTTTCTATGGGACACGTGAGTTGAAATCTCTCAAACTTCCTAATCCAACAATTGATCGCTTGGCACGCGTTCGAAGGCAGATTGTAGGTAGTTGGTTCGCTTGAGAGAATTTGAGAGTGTTTGAGAGTTTGTGTGGAAATAGAGTTTTTATTTCAACTAGAGTGGCGTGAACTAGCTACCAGGGTGGAAAAATGAAAAAAAGAAACAGTTTAAAGATAAGAAAAAAAAACACTCCGTGGTCTAGCGGGAAGGGAGAGGGTGGGAAAATGAAGAAATGCCATGAAGAAGGAAGAGAAAGGTCAAAGAGGAGAAAAAGGTGGGAGTGCGGATGGGAGCGGGATGAGGAGATAATATTTGAGACTAGATTCGGAGAAGGCCATTCTTAACCGTACACTACCGTACTGCTTTGCTTTCAATCGTACATTACCATACCTCGTCCAGGTACCCATCATCCTCATCTTCCTCATTCTCCCGATCGGCCCCTTCCACCTCTTCCGTCACCCCCTTCCCTCCTCTCTCTTCCAGCTCGCCTCCCCTCTTCTCCCTCCCACTCTCCCTTTCACTCCCCTCCTCCTCCTCTCGCCCTTCTTCCCCATTCAGCTTTACATCTCCTCTCCCTTCCATTCTCCCCTCCTCACCCCTCACTCCCTCCCTTACTCCCTCCCTCACTCCCTCCCTCAAGCCCTCCCCCTCTCTCATTTTCTCCTCTATCTCCACCACCTCGCGCATTATCTGCACCACCAGGGGGTCCAGCGCGCCCCCCATCCACGGCAGCTCGGCGCGCAGCACCCGCTCCAAATGCCGCCTGCGCGCGCCCACTGCGGAAGACGTGCCTGTCGAGGAAGTTCCGCCCATTTCGGGGATTCCACCAGCGCTTATCCCCCCCACTGGTTCTCTCACCCGCGTCGAATCTCGCAGCCCATTCGGTACATCTGGACCTTCCATTTCTCTTAAACCCTCTCCCAATCCTGAATTAACAGCCGTTGATTCTCCCAACCCTCCAGCCCCTCTTAAACCCTGTTCCGGCCTTGAAGCCTCGTTGGTAGCGGTTCCAGCCTGCTGAGTCAGCATCGGGTGCGCTGAGCTGGCAAGCGCCATTCTTCTGCTGCCGTTTGACCCGGATGACGTGGATCCGATGACGTGGACGGCTGCGGACGTGCGACGTTGATAAGTAGAGAACCCACTGCTAACAGAGTGTAGAGGCTTTATGCGTCGCGTGGAAGAACTTATATCGAAGCACTCTCCTGTCGGGGATATTCTCGAGAAATTGTTGGCCTTGGGGGTGACAAGTCTGGTAACGCGAGTGGATGACAACGGACGGCTGAGATTGCTCGAGGCAATTCCGATCATCGGCAGAACTCGACGCTGCGAGGCGCCCGCGTAGCTTATACCTGTACGCGATAAGAGCCGAGCGCACAAGCGCATAATGCGCGATCGATTGGAGGCGTAGTTACGAGCGGGAGGTGAGGGAACAGTAATGAGCAATCTAGGTGGGTAGCTACCACGCCACGACGAGTTGGGTGGGTGCGGCAACTTGTGATGTGTGCGGAACTTCAAATCAGAGAGGAAACTTTCACCCTGTACCCGCAACAGGATGTCCTTGTTTGAACTATAATACCAGGAACAATGCATGCGAACTTACTGGATATAATACGCAGATACGGTATGTTGGGTAATAGATTAATCAATCACGAGATACATCGCAATAATCATACCCCGCTCCATATTCTTCCTATTCGGCGTGTCGGCACAAAAGCCTCGGGATCACATTCCTCGGGAACATAAACAGCCGCCAGACGATGCGAAAAAAATGCCGCCGTATGCGAAAATCCCGACTTAGTCAAAATGAGTGCATCACTCGACGCGAGAAGCAGCCATTCTGTTACAATGTCAATGTATGTGGAAGCCCCTTCTTCCGGAGTGAATTGCGCTGGTGAAACCGTTTGCGATGAAGGAGGGTGTGTGTCAGTGGGTGTTGGGTCCTGGGGCCATGTCAGGGTGTTGACGTGGCGAGGGACAATGTCTGATACCACCACCTGTGCCACAAACGAGGATGGCAATAGTGGAGCGGATGGGTGGTGGTGAGATGATAGGTCAAGGGTGAGAGCGGGGAGTGAGAGTGGGGACAATGTCTGATACCACCACCCATGCCACACCAAACGAGGATGGCAATAGTGGGGCAGATGGGTGGTGAGATGAGAGAGCGGTCAGGCAGGGATGAGGGTGAGAGTGGGGAGTAAGAGTGTGGAATGAGAGTGTGGAGTGAGAGTGTGGAGTGAGGGTGTGGAGTGAGGGTATGGATTGAGTGTGGAAAGTGAGCTTAGAGTGAGAGAGTGGAGTGAGTGTGGAATGCGAGTGTGAAAGAGGTAGAGAGGACAGAGGGAGTGCATACCCTATGGGGGTATTTGAGCCAGAGGGCGGTCTTGAGCGGCAGCGAGTTGGTGACGACGAGCCAGCGCACCTCATAAGGGGGCGAGGGCACCCACCACTCCTCTAATGCCTGCAGGGTGAGAGGGAGATGAGCGGATGGGACAAGTAAAGGGACGAACGAGATACGCGTGAATATCAGAAGGCAGTCTTGAGTGGCAGCGAGTTGGTACCCACGAGCCAGCACACCTCATAAGGTGGTGAGGCCACCCACCAGTCCTCTAATGCCTGCACGAATGGATGACAGGGGGGGGCGGAGAGGGGTATGAGAGGGATGAGAGGGGGAAGGAAACACGTGAACATCAGAGGGCGGTCTTGAGCGGCAGGGAGTTGGTGACGACGAGGCAACGACAGGTGCAGAGAGGTGGAAGCATGAGGGAGAGAGGAGAGCAGTGCGTGAAGTGTGGATGGAGAGGGGAAAAGGCGAGCTTGCCTTGTGGGGGTACTTGAGCCAGAGGGCGGTCTTGAGCGGCAGCGAGTTGGTGACGACGAGCCAGCGCACCTCGCAAGACCGCAGCTCTGTGTCCACTGTGGGGGCGCAAGGGCACCCACCTCATCCCTATCCCCCCCCTCCACCTTAGCCCACACCCACCTCGGCACATGATTGTTTCAGCTCACGAGAGCAGCACATCTGTCTGAGAAACATTGAGAGCCTTGGGATCGCCAAACCCCCACTCGCTCTCCCATACCATCATGTCTCCCGCTCTTATGTGCACCCCCACCACCACCACCCCTCGGTTTGAAGGGCGGATTTGGAAAGAGAAACCCACCTTGGCACACGATATGTACTGGTCAGCCCACGACAGCAGCGCATCCATCTGTGTGGCATTCAACGCCTTGGGATCGCCGAATCCCCATTCTCCCTCCCAAACCATTGTGTCCCCTGCTCTTATATGCATCCCCACCACCACCACCCCTCGGTTCGAAGGGCCATAGGAGGGGTGCGGGTGCGATGGGCGGAAGGAGGAGGGGGGCGGGGAGAGGAGGTGGTGGTAGATGGCTTGCACTCGAGAGATGACCGCTGGTTGCGGCCTGGGATGGGGAAGGGGGGTGTTGCGGGGGGGAAGGGGGGTGTTGCGGGGGGGAAGAAGAGACAAGAGAGGGTGAATGGGAATGTCAGATGTTGAGGGAAGCGCGTGTAAAAACTCAAATGAAGGGGAGAGGAGGTGGTGGTAGATGGCTTGCACTCGAGACCTGACCTCTGGCTGGGGCCTGAGTTAGAGAGGAAGAGGTGTGCAACGGGAGGGGATGAGGGAGGGGATGTGGGAGGGGATGTGGGAGGGGATGTGGAAGGGGATGTGGGAGGGGATGTGGGAGGGGATGTGGGAGGGGATGTGGGAGGGGATGTGGGAGGGGATGTGGGAGGGGATGTGGGAGGGGATGTGGGAGGGGATGTGGGAGGGGATGTGGGAGGGGATGTGGGAGGGGATGTGGGAGGGGATGTGGGAGGGGATGTGGGAGGGGATGTGGGAGGGGATGTGGGAGGGGAAGCCATAAATGAAAGGGGAAGGGGAAGGAGAAAGGGAAAGGAACAGGGGGAATGGCTGAACGCACTGTACTCTGAAAACAATGTTGTTGTTTATGGATATATATATACATATATATACATATATATATATATATTCACTACACACCATATCCGCGTGAAAGAAATGAACCATGTAACTGGCGAACTTTTGAGCTGACTCGAATATTGAACCCTGTAACTGGCCGACTCACGTGAGGAGGAATCGCAGGATGCAGCCAAAGGCAAAGGGAGGCCGCATGCCCATGTCCTTTAGTCTGTCCGCCCACTTCTTCTCAAATGCCTGTGACAGAGGTAGAGGGAGAGGTAGCAGCAGAGGAAGGGCAGAGGCAGAGGAAGCAGCAGCAGAAGACAGCGGAAAGGGAGTGGGGAGGACAGATCACGTCTAGGCCACTCAAAGGGAGGCCGCATGCCCATGTCCTTTAGACTGTCCGCCCACTTCTTCTCAAATGCCTGCAGCAGCAGAGGTAGAGGCAGCAGAGGCAGGGAGAAGAAAGCGGTGAGAAGTGGAAGAAACCAGTTACACAGACCTGCACCAGTGACACAGACCTGCACCAGTGACACAGACCTGCACCAGTGACACAGACCTGCACCAGTGACACAGCCCTGCACCAGTGACACAGACCTGCACCAGTGACACAGACCTGCACCAGTGACACAGCCCTGCACCAGTGACACAGCCCTGCACCAGTGACACAGACCTGCACCAGTGACACAGACCTGCACCAGTGACACAGCCCTGCACCAGTGACACAGCCCTGCACCAGTGACACAGCCCTGCACCAGTGACACAGACCTGCACCAGTGACACAGCCCTGCACCAGTGACACAGACCTGCACCAGTGACACAGCCCTGCACCAGTGACACAGCCCTGCACCAGTGACACAGACCTGCACCAGTGACACAGACCTGCACCAGTGACACTGACCTGCACCAGTGACACAGCCCTGCACCAGTGACACAGACCTGCACCAGTGACACAGACCTCCACCAGTGACACTGACCTGCACCAGTGACACAGACCTGCACCAGTGACACAGACCTGCACCAGTGACACAGACCTGCACCAGTGACACAGACCTGCACCAGTGACACAGACCTGCACCAGTGACACAGACCTGCACCAGTGACACAGACCTGCACCAGTGACACAGACCTGCACCAGTGACACAGACCTGCACCAGTGACACAGACCTGCACCAGTGACACAGACCTGCACCAGTGACACAGACCTGCACCAGTGACACAGACCTGCACCAGTGACACAGACCTGCACCAGTGACACAGACCTGCACGAGGAGGTAGGTGAGCAGGCCTCTATTCCAAGTCACCCGCACATTCAGTGCCTTATCCATGATCCCAAACACCCGCACCGCACTGACCCGCACTGACCCGCACTGACCTGCACGAGGAGGTAGGTGAGCAGGCCTCTATTCCCGCACGTTCATCGCCTTATCCATGATCCCAAACACCTCCTCGGGCTCCACAAACCGGTTTCTGAAATCCACCACCACCACCTCCACTCCACTTTACGCCCTTGCATCTCCACACCCCCCCTTCGCCTCCACAGCCCCCGTTGGACTTCCCCTCCCCACTCATGCACTTCCAACAACCAGCAACGAGAGCAAGGAACCAGTACTGACCTACACGAGGAGCAAGGAACCAGTACTGACCTACACGAGGAGCAAGGAACCAGTACTGACCTACACGAGGAGCAAGGAACCAGTACTGACCTACACGAGGAGCAAGGAACCAGTACTGACCTACACGAGGAGCAAGGAACCAGTACTGACCTACACGAGGAGCAAGGAACCAGTACTGACCTACACGAGGAGCAAGGAACCAGTACTGACCTACACGAGGAGCAAGGAACCAGTACTGACCTACACGAGGAGCAAGGAACCAGTACTGACCTACACGAGGAGCAAGGAACCAGTACTGACCTACACGAGGAGCAAGGAACCAGTACTGACCTACACGAGGAGCAAGGAACCAGTACTGACCTACACGAGGAGCAAGGAACCAGTACTGACCTACACGAGGAGCAAGGAACCAGTACTGACCTACACGAGGAGCAAGGAACCAGTACTGACCTACACGAGGAGCAAGGAACCAGTACTGACCTACACGAGGAGCAAGGAACCAGTACTGACCTACACGAGGAGCAAGGAACCAGTACTGACCTACACGAGGAGCAAGGAACCAGTACTGACCTACACGAGGAGCAAGGAACCAGTACTGACCTACACGAGGAGCAAGGAACCAGTACTGACCTACACGAGGAGCAAGGAACCAGTACTGACCTACACGAGGAGCAAGGAACCAGTACTGACCTACACGAGGAGCAAGGAACCAGTACTGACCTACACGAGGAGCAAGGAACCAGTACTGACCTACACGAGGAGCAAGGAACCAGTACTGACCTACACGAGGAGCAAGGAACCAGTACTGACCTACACGAGGAGCAAGGAACCAGTACTGACCTACACGAGGAGCAAGGAACCAGTACTGACCTACACGAGGAGCAAGGAACCAGTACTGACCTACACGAGGAGCAAGGAACCAGTACTGACCTACACGAGGAGCAAGGAACCAGTACTGACCTACACGAGGAGCAAGGAACCAGTACTGACCTACACGAGGAGCAAGGAACCAGTACTGACCTACACGAGGAGCAAGGAACCAGTACTGACCTACACGAGGAGCAAGGAACCAGTACTGACCTACACGAGGAGCAAGGAACCAGTACTGACCTACACGAGGAGCAAGGAACCAGTACTGACCTACACGAGGAGCAAGGAACCAGTACTGACCTACACGAGGAGCAAGGAACCAGTACTGACCTACACGAGGAGCAAGGAACCAGTACTGACCTACACGAGGAGCAAGGAACCAGTACTGACCTACACGAGGAGCAAGGAACCAGTACTGACCTACACGAGGAGCAAGGAACCAGTACTGACCTACACGAGGAGCAAGGAACCAGTACTGACCTACACGAGGAGCAAGGAACCAGTACTGACCTACACGAGGAGCAAGGAACCAGTACTGACCTACACGAGGAGCAAGGAACCAGTACTGACCTACACGAGGAGCAAGGAACCAGTACTGACCTACGGAGCAAGGAACCAGTACTGACCTACACGAGGAGCAAGGAACCAGTACTGACCTACACGAGGAGCAAGGAACCAGTACTGACCTACACGAGGAGCAAGGAACCAGTACTGACCTACACTAGGAGCAAGGAACCAGTACTGACCTACACGAGGAGCAAGGAACCAGTACTGACCTACACGAGGAGCAAGGAACCAGTACTGACCTACACGAGGAGCAAGGAACCAGTACTGACCTACACGAGGAGCAAGGAACCAGTACTGACCTACACGAGGAGCAAGGAACCAGTACTGACCTACACGAGGAGCAAGGAACCAGTACTGACCTACACGAGGAGCAAGGAACCAGTACTGACCTACACGAGGAGCAAGGAACCAGTACTGACCTACACGAGGAGCAAGGAACCAGTACTGACCTACACGAGGAGCAAGGAACCAGTACTGACCTGCACGAGGAGCAAGGAACCAGTACTGACCTACACGAGGAGGAAGGTGAGCAGGCCTCGATTCCACGTCACCCGCACGTTGAGTGCTTTATCCATGATCCCAAACACCTCTTGCACTTTCAACTACCAGCAATAAGAGGAGGAAACCATACCAGCACTGACCTGTACGAGGAGGTAAGTGAGCAGGCCTCTATTCCACGTCACGCGCACATTGAGAGCCTTATCCATGATCGCAAACACCTCCTCAGGCTCCACAAACCGGTTTCTGAAATCCACCACCACCACCTCCCCCTCCTGCACCTCCACCTCCCCTCCTCCCCTCCTCTCACCCCCCGCACTCCTTCTCTCTCCCCCTCCCTCTCCCGCTCCGTCTCCCCCTCGCTCTCCTCCGTTCTCTCCTCCGCTCCCTCCCAGTTTTCCATCTTCCAGAGCAAGCCTCCGAGCCGGCTCGACAGGTACGTCCGGGGTCCACGACCAGTCCACCAGGTTCGGCGCAAAGGCAAGCGGGAGGTACGGGTGCCGGACCAGGAAGGCTCGGCGGGAGAGCAGCGCGCAGGCAAAGGCGGTGGCGAGGCCTGTGAGGAAATCCCCTAGCCCCCCTGCCTCGTCCGGCCACTCGTATGTGAGGAAACGGATGGAGGGGTCGAGAGGCGGGCAGGGGTATGGGGTTGGGGGAGGAGGGGAAGGGGGAGGCGGAGGGGGAGGCGGAGGGGGGGGTGAGAGGTGTGGAGTGGTTGGAGAGGGTGCTTCTGCTGCTGCTGCTGCTGCTGCTGCACCGGCGGCTGCTGCTGTTGCTACAGGTGCCGGTGCTGGTGCTGCTGATTGCCGTACTGCTTCACGTGCTGCTTCAGCAGCAGCAGCAGCAGCAGCAGCAGCAGCAGTTTGTGCGAGCGCAGGGGCATTGGTGCGAGCAGCCTGGCGAATTTGGGCGTGCAAGGCGGAGTAGGTGGGAGCCCAATCGCCACAGAGGGAGTCGGAGAAGGAAACATCCAGGAAGGGGGCGAGCGGGGAGGAGGACGCGAGGGGGGCCCAAGAGGACTGCGGGATGGGGGGGGAAGAAAGTGGGGGAGGGAGGGGACGAGAGAAGGCTTCTAGCGTCCCACAGGCGGAGAGGAGGGGGCCCAGGCGCCACAGAGGGAGTCGGAGAAAGAGCCATCGAGGAGGGGGAGGGGGAGGGGAGGGGGAGGGGGAGGGGGAGGGGGAGGGGGAGGGGGAGGGGGAGGAGGAGGGGGAGGGGAATGTAAGAAGGCCTGTCTTTATGGCGGAGTAGGCGGGAGCCCAGGCGCCAGAGGGAGTTGGAGAAAGAGACCTCGAGGAAGGGGGTGAGGGGGGAGTGGGACGCGAGGGGGGGCCAAGAAGCCTGCGGGGTGGGGGGAGGAGCGGGGAAAGAAGGCAGCAGCGGAGGGAGGGAACAGGGGAGGGAGGGAGCAGGAGGGTGTGATAGAGAAGAACGGAGGGGAGGAGGGTCTGAGCGTCCTAAAAGTGGAGTAGGAGGGGGGCCAGGTGCCACAGAGGGATTTGGAGAAAGGGCCGTCGAGGAAGGGGGCGAGGGGGGAGTGGGACGCGAAAGCGGGGCCAAGAAGCCTGCGGGGTGGGGGAAGGAGCGGGGAAAGAAGGCAGCAGCGGCCGTCGAGGAAGGGGGCGGGTGGGGAGGGGAACGCGAGGGGAAGGCGAGAATATTGTTGAGGGGAAGGAGGGGGGAAGGAAGGGAGCAAGGGGGAGAAAGAGCAGTTGAGGGAGGGGCCAGGGGGATGTGGTAGAGAAGAACGGAGGGGAAAGAGATGCGGGTTCAACACACGCAGCAGTCAGTGGGACTCACTGCCAGGAAGAGGAGCACGATGCTACAGGTAAGCAGTCCCCTGCGACCTTGGAGTTGTCGCTTGCGACCTTGGAGTTGTCGCCTGCGACCTTGGAGTTGTCGCCTGCGACCTTGGAGTTGTCGCCTGCAACCTTGGAGTTGTCCCTTGCGACCTCGGAGTTGTCCCATTGGCCTGGTACGTTGTCTTCCGCTCATGCGCTGTCGCTTACGCGTACACGGCCAACACCCCTTTCTCGTTGAAATCCCATCATCTATCGTAACGGCAGGTTTTTCCTCGCAACTCCGTGACCCTCTGATGGCTGGATCGGCATTGCCCATCTCTCGCTTCCTCTCCTTCCTCTCGCCCATTGTCTTCCCCAATGAGGTTTCGATTGCGAAACATTCGGACCCCGTGCTACCACATCTCCGGGTTACCCTATTAATGCTGTCGTACGGGCGACTACTTGTGGCATAGTTCAACCGTCCGACGAGGAATACAGAATCCTACGGCTCGGAATCGCGAATGCAGCTGATGCTGATGCGGATAAGGAACCTACGGCTTAGATTCGCTGTTGAAAGCTACAGTGAGCGAGACAAACTGAGAACCTCCAGGATTCTGGAGTCGCGGCCATGATTTCATATAATTTCAGCAGCTCCAAGCATCACAGTCAGCAGCAACAGGCGTCACCGCATATTGCTAGGCCGCGCTGTTCAGTTCAGAACAGACACAACTTCCTCTGATTCTTTTGACGCATGGAAGTCAGAGGTGGTTTAGAGCAAGTTGATGCGATGGAGCGTGGTTCTAGTGCTTGGTTCGCTGGGCTGTCCAGCCCCGTTACAAACTGCTCTCATTTCCCTTGGCGTGAAAAAAGTGCGCGAGTTTGTTTTCAAATCATGCAGCAAAATTTTTGTTTGGTTCGCTACTTTGAAAAGAGGTACACGCTAGAACCGTTGTGTACTACGAGGTATCCCACTGAAACGCACTGAGAGATGAGTCAGATTGAAACCACTCGGCAACATTCTACCTCGAGTCTACTCTCATCAGACCTGCTGCCAGTTTTAGGAATCCGTAGCCAGCGGACTGCACGGCAGCCTCGATGCCTACACCACCAATAGCAGCAAGCCCAGCCTCGCGTTACTGCACTGTACCGATGGCGGCAATACCGATGCTGTGGATATCAACAGAAGCAGCACCGATGGTGGTAACACCCATGGCGAGATTTAACGAATAGCACGCGAGCAGAACTGACTGGTAACCTTGGTCAAGCATTCGGCGGATAAGGAACAGTCAAGAACCATACACAGGCTGCAATGTTACATGCGTCAGTGCAAGAGGCAGCAGATAGGCGTTCTGGAGTCCTTGTGTTCGCCGTCTCTCATCTTATTACCTCGGCGTATGATCAATCTGGTGTAATCACGTGAAGTACTTTCTTGGGAATTAGTACTTCCCTTGTGGTCGGCTGGATTCGATTCTTGGTTGAGAAAATTGGTTGAAGAATGGATTCTTATGTGGGAAATACTTCGGAGGAAACTTAGCTGTTTGATCAGTGTCATTTCGACGGAGATTCGACCCAACATCCGGCTGAAAGCTTAGGCCGCGGTTTAGCGGCTTCTGCGATAGATTTTAATGGGTGAGAAGGGATCGAAGGCTTCGATTTCCTCAACACCGATACAGTTTACTACGAACCAAATCTTCTTTTTGAAGCTAAAAATGACGACGAAGGTCAGCCACGCGGTGACGTCAGAAGCGTACCATCTGACGTGGCAGACCCATGTGTAAATGGTGATAGGTGACGTGGAACTCCCGTTGGTGATTCTTCCTGGTTCGTCAGCTGACTCCCCCCTTGGTAATGCCTGCGACTTGGAAGCCATTCTTGACACGTCACCATTTGACACATCGCACGAAGAAATGTGGCTTCCAGCAATTAGCTGGAAGCCTTCCTGGGGACTCCCGTTTTCGGGAGTCCTGTCAATCTGCTTTCAATACTGGGGGGTAATTGTGGGGCAACAGAACCACCCTGCAGTCAACCTGCGCACTGCCGAAACCAACCTGCGAGGCGATTGAAATGTGTAAGTTGCGCATTGCATGTCAGTTGGGGCGAGTAATCTAGTTTGTTACTTTCGGAAACGAAAAGAAGGCCCTCGCACAGGCGAGAATTGATTAGTTCAGTTGTAACCACTCGCGTAACAAAATTGTTAAAGTTGGTTGCTGCGTGATAACAATATGCGTATGTATAAAAGCGATAAAGAAAAGTTTAGTGGATATTTGTTCCTATTGGAGATGTGACAAGGCGACATTTAATTGAGATAACTACACTGCTAAAATTATGATCAGTAGAATTTCGAATGGGTTTATTATCAACAAATCAAAACAATTCCCTAATTATAATTAACTATTATTAAACGCTTACAATACTAATTGGTTAGAAATTAATCAACAAAATATCACATACTAAACCTACATATGCACTACAGCTACATAAAGCTACTAAACATCCTCTACAATCTGCCAATCCTTAACAATGACATCTCCAAAATAGTAGAACCCACTGACTAGTGGAATGCTAGCGTGACGGACCCAGCTCTCAACCTGGAACTTCCTCTTGGTCATTTCGCGGGTGTTGTTCTCGGAATCAGAAAACATGCTGCTTCGATCACGACATAGCATCTCAAACTCGACCTGCCAAGAAAAGAGCGAAATTAGCCGGTTGAAAACGGCAAGATAAAGCATTATAAATACATGTTCGCTCACCGCGACCATGGTGTAGCACAGCTGGTCAATGCTCAGGGTGTAGACACCCCCCTCTTTCTTCTGCCACTTGCTTGCAGCAGCTAAGAACGCCTCGCTACAGAACGGCTTGTTCTCGTCAACATGCCACGGCAGGCCAAACTCCTCTGAAATTAAAAATACAGGAGTCACAAACAAGTCATAACTAGAGCAACAGCAATAAGATAACTCACGTACCAGAGACACAGGCTCGAGCATAATTGCGCCGATCCTCAACGGAGTTTTGAACGACTTTGCCATCAGGGTACTTCAGCAGCTTGAAACTCGCCTTCCGGGACTTGTTCCCGAGTTTCCCCCGCCGGCCGTTACAAATGTCGGTGCACCTCTTCGCCCACTCGCCCTTCTTCCAGTAGTCGTTAAACTTCCCGAAGTCTTCGGGCTCCAGAGCGAGATGAACCACAACGGCCGCCTTGAACTGCTCTTCGTCAGGGTAAATGACTCGCTGGGAGACATCTGATCCCTTGAGCAAATCATCGCACGCCTTCTTACAGGCATCCTGCGAAAAGAACGAGAGTTTAGAACATACACGCGTAAGCCAGACAAAACAATAAGCAAATAACGGACACTTACTTCCATGGTTTTCTCGTTGCACCAGCTCGGCTGGTGCACAATTTCGAGAAGATTCTTGACAGTAGCAGCCAGAGTCTGGTGGATCTCATCCGATACACGAAGCCGGTTTTCAATTCGCAGCATCAAAGTGCGAACGTCTTTCAGCTCGCCGCGTATGGCAGCGTCGATGTGGTTGTACGAGTTGGCCTCGGGGTGATGAACATCACGATCTGACGAGTGCACACCTGAAAACACAAGGGAGGTTTCATTAGAGCAAAACGTCATGACACTTAAATATTTATAATAAGGCCAAATGAAACAATGGAGTGAACGCTGACAGAAACAGAATAGTAATCAGTAAAACGTACCGCCAGTTCTAGCGGATGCGATGACATTTGCCGTAGCACCAGGTTGCGCCACGTGTGCGGTAGCGTTCGAAGCGTGGTTGGGAGAGGCAACTCCATTGTCTGTTGTGTGCTCGGCCTCAAGTGCCTCAAGGTCTTGCAGAGACTGGGGTTCCGCAGGCTGAGCGCTCGGGGTACCCACCTGCTGGGCTGGAGTAGAAATTCTACGAGCTCCTGTGGTTGGGCTACCAAGCTCGTAGCCTTCGAGACGCCTGTTAGAGGTTCGGGATCTCTTACGCTGCAACTCCATTATTTCTGGGGGCACGCCTACCGCCATGTTTCCTAAAGTGCCCACTAACAGGCGAAGGGCACGTAGATGAAAACGAGGCAAAAAAATAGTGGGACTAGGCGGAACTTTGAGAACGAGAGGAAGCTCGGCTGGTTGGAAACGAAGAGAAGCTGCTCTGGTAGGGTACGAGATGAGTAGCACATGTCGTTGGTATCGATGACTAAGAGGCATGTTGCGATGGGTATTGTTGACAGCGTGAAGGTTCACCCCGAGCTACTTCACAAGCAAATTATTACACCGATACCACACTTTGCGAGAACAGTGGACCAAACCCTTCACCTGGACTTTAATCAACGGCCCTGCTCGAATGGACCAGAGCGTTAAACGCTAGTGCGATAGATGATACATCGCACTTAGTTGCGAGTCGTTTAGTAAGTACCGAACAGCATTACACACAACATGCGAATTCTACTAATGAAAAGGTGCTTTGGTTCATTTTTCGAAACGAGATTGTCCTTGAAATACGCCAAAACGCTCCATACATTGGTGCTGTATCTGGCAATGTATGGTCTCACGACACATACGTGGCAGACAACGCGTCAACTGCGCCGCTAAACAACAAACTATTCAGCAAACAATGACAGAGCAAAAAGTTTAGTGACGTGTATCTTTCAAGGCGTGGTCGCTAGGCATGGAAGTCCAACGAATGAGAGGCTTGCCTGCGAAACTGGCAACATTGTCGAAGTCACTGGAAGGCTGACAGCTGTAAGTGACGTCCTGCGAAGCTGTTACGAAGGACCCATTTCTACTTTGCATCGAGCCAGACAAACCTTAACAATGGCATGGTGGACACAGCACAGCAGGCAGATAACTGCGCGCTAGCCAACGAGGCAGGAAAGGTTACCCAGTTGCGCGGCAGCATGCCAGCAAGCAACTGTGTAATGATTACTAGCGTGGCACAACATCGCCAACAATGCACGGGTGAATGTTACACTTCCAATCGGAACAAGGGATAATAGGGGAGAAATAGCGGACTAGTTTCAACAAGCGATGCTTACAATATTCGGAGTACAGGACTGATTGTGTTATGTCCATCGTTTTTTAATAAAATTTGAACTTGTTCATAACAAAGAGCCCCTCACTGACCGAAACCATATGAGCTACGCGCAGAATGTTATCAAGCTCAAGCAGTTGGTACTCGTTGTCACCTGCCTCCCAAGCATACACCGGGCATTTTGATGTGTGCACCACACCAGTGGCTCTGAAATAGCGGACAAATGTGTACGCGCGCTTGGAAAACGCCTTTGTCTCTGGCGTGTACACGTCGATGGTAAACAACAGCAGGATTCTTGCATACCATATCACCTTCCGCCTTGTCGTTTGGCCTCCTGCAGCCTCAACCTCCTCTTCACCAAGCACTGCTACATCGTTGAACCATGGTTTGTCGCCGAAAGACGCGCACGCTCGCACATAATGTGTCTGACTGGAGTACTTGGTGAAATCCTCGTCGCCTGGAATAGCCATGCCGTTCTTCACACGTATGGTACCATTTAGTACCTCGCCTTCCTCGGCCTTGCCTTCCAACAGCCCCGCGAGCTTGGTCATGTCACCCGGCGCGGCCAGCGCATGTGCTTTCCACTTGTCACACCCATCCTCAATGCTTTCCTTCCAGCTAACACTAAAGCTGGTGGCTGCAAGCGTGTTGCTACCGCTCTCCATAGCCTGCAAAATGCATGTCCATTCAGGCATGGGTGCAAAAAAAAGGCTCGTTGTTTAGGCGATGTTGAATACAGGCACCCAAATACGTTTCAACAAGACTTGAAGCTCCATGCTCACAAGACATAATCCCAGTTACACACACATGCTCACGCATGCACAAACCCTCACACACAGACACACACACATACTCACACACACACACGCATGCGCACACACACACACAGACGCACACACATACACACACGCATACACACACCCTCGCACACACTCACACACACGCACGCGCACGCGCACACAGACATTTACACACACACACACGCACACGCACGCACACACACACACACGCACCCACGCTCGCACGCGCAAGCGCACAAACACACACAGGCACACACACGCATACATACGCACACAGACACACACACACACACTCGCACACACTCACACACACGCACGCGCACACATACACTCACACACATACGCATACATACGCACACACACACACACACACACACACTCGCACACACCCACACACACGCACGCGCACACATACACTCACACACACACGCATACATACGCACACCTAAACACCCTCACACTCACTCACACACATGCACGCGTATGCGCACACACAATACGCACACACACACACATACACACTCACACACATACACACTCACACACACACACGCATACACGCGCGCACACACACACACTCGCACACACTAACACACGCGCATGCGCACACACACACTCACACACACACGCATACATACGCACACACACACCCTCACACACACTCACACACACAGACACACACACACACACACACACAGACACACACACACGCGCACGTACATACAAAAACACTTACACTCACACACGGACGCACGCACACACACACACACACACTCACACACACGCATAGACGCCCACACACACACGTACATACATACAAATACGTGCACACACACACTCTCTCTCTAACACTCTCTCACACATACACACATACACACACACGCGCACGTACCTCCTGTAGTGCAACCATTCGCTTTGGTCCATCCTCGCTTGGTGCCTCCGATGCTTGGAGCACGCGTAGCATGTGCATTCGCACATCGTGCTTCACAATTTGAGGGATAGGATCCCTCTTGTTGCCTGCACGGTACGTTCGCTTCACGAGAGGTTGATGGAGATACTCGTACATGTTGGCGCTGTAATGCATCGGCACCCCCGATCGAATGATGTCCTCCACCACGTGTGCCAATGAATGCACTTTGGTGATGTCAAGCTCAGACTTCTGAAGGCCTGCAAAGACTTCCTTCAAGAGCGGAATCAACCTGTTGGTGGGTATGGCTCACATGAAGAACATTGAAGAGACAAAACTCAATGGGCGCGAAAAAATTAGTAAATCAAGACGTCGCAACACATTGGCAAGCATGGAATGCAAGGTATGAGATACATCGAACAAGAAAGAGAAAAACCCTAAACCATGCACAGTTGAGAAAGATGCTTACCTCTTGATGGCCTCATCAAGCTCTTATAGCGTCTTCGAGGTATGATACCAACGCCGGGCTGCGAGCATGTAGCAATCCACGAATGCTGCCACCGCACCAACCACCGAGTTCGGCACGCCGCAATTTGCAAGCACGATCGTGATCACTTGCATCACTGCGCGATGCTCAAACGCCTGAAACCGTGCAGCACCCGCAAAGTAACCACCCTTCTCGGAAGATGGGATACGGAAACCCGAGATTCGGGTGTCGGTCGCAATGCGCTGCAACTCGGTGTCGAGGGAACGCAGAAAGTCGCGATCTCGTGCGTAATACGCTCGAATGCAGGAAACGAGTGTGGCGTTCCGCTCGGGCCCACTCGGCAACGCCAACAACGCCTCAACTTTATCGCCCTGATCGACTTCCGTGCGATATTCGACCACCGCCTCCATGTTGCTTATGTCTTCACGTTTCACGAGACACTTGTGGCACGGGAACATCGCCTTGTGACTTGCAAACGTCCCCGCCAGCTTGCACGCTTCCGGGTGATCAGCCACATATGCGTAGACAGCGGGAAATACCACTTGCGTCTGCCCAAAAGGGTCTTCTATTACAATGCCACTATGTAGGTAGAAAAGGGTGATGAACATAGGAAAGATACAATTATAAGGGGAGGGGAAGTGGATTTGCACATGAGGTGAGCAAGAAAAAACTCATCGTAGTGATAAAGCATACTTGCAACACACACACCCACACCCAGTAGAATGAAAAGCACTCACCCGCACATTCGATAGACACTCACTCGTAAGATGCCTCTTTGAGCTCTTTAAGAACCACATCCAAAGCCAGTTGGAATACCTCCCGATGAAGCGCCTTCCCCTCGTCCGTCCTCGAGTCCACGTTCGGAAGTGGCGGAAGCATAGCAACCATCCGATGCCCGTGTGGTTGCCAACAATTCTTGAGCGTGACGTTTCCAAGTGTGAAATATACCGGATGTCCCGTAACACGCCCATCGTTGCTCAAGTTCATCCCGTCGCTGTACAGGATGCACGCTGCAATTACACCACCCCTCGGGCATTCTTCTTGCATCTTAATCCATCCATCTCCCGTCTCGGGCCCCGCGTATATCCGCTGCTTCTTGTCGGACGTGTAGACTGCTGCCGGTTTCACCACAAAGCCGTCTCTGTTCGCGTTGTCCGAATACATCGCCACCAATGCTTCGACTATGGAGGTTACGTGCACAGTAACTTTCATGCCGTTGCTCAACTCCACCTCGACAGCTCTCCATTCCACCATGCCCGTAGTCTCCGCCAGTAAAGACTTTTCGTACTTCGCCAAGCCAGCACTGTTCTTGTATGATGGCTTCATGTAACCGGTCTCGTGCAAAACGCTCAGTAGAGTATTAGTGTCAGTTGCCGACATCCCCATGCCTCCATTAAAACCCCGAATCGCCTTCGCCAAAGCCAGGTCTGTGTCAAATGGGAGCTTCTGTGGACTAAGATCTGCCGTTGCATCCGTTGTTGAGAATTCTATGTCATCACCGTCGCCGTCGCTGTCATCCGACGTCGGAAAGTCAAACGGGGGAGGGTTCACACTGGTTTGTGCAGATGGTGCTCCGCTAGTGGTCAAAGGCGGACTTGCTGCGGCACGCGGAGCAACTCGTGCACGCAGCAGCCGGTTCACGTCATTAGCTCGTTTGCGCTTCAAACCCTCTAGAATCCGTACATTTGCACTCTCTGACGCAGTTGGGCGCTTTCTACAAAACAATTTGTGATTAATCAAGCCCTGTCCAGTAGTGCAGGTGAATCCACAGGCACATGTAAACTCCATTATCAATTATAGGGATACAAGGATCTGTGCAAGCTTGGAGAAGAACTAAAATAGTGAAGAATAACAAGCAAGGTCTAACATATATGCAATGTCTTCAACAGCATCCCCTGGACCTGCATGCAAAGACCACAGAGCACAAACGGTCATGGCCCTCAGTGGCAAGAGGGGGCAAATCTGTGGCTCTAAAACGAACATGGCAAAAAAAAGCCAAAAAACACTAAAAACGGTACTGACCCCACTAATCCCTCAAGCCGCGGCACTTTCGCGCAATATACCACGCGTCCGCACGCGGCGCATCCGATGGTACGGCGACGAAGTCGCTATTTCTGCCGGGCCGACCCTAAAACTAATGTAGAGAAACCAAAACGGCGAAACCCTCGCGGCCCGTGGATCTGCAACAGCGGGACGCAAGTGTGAAAGTGTACGCCTTGTCGGCACGTCGCGCATGCACTGGTGTGTCGTCGAAAACGCGTTTCGGGCTATGGCGTCCCTAAAATTAGTACATCTAAAAAATTGAGCTCGGCCCGCGCCCTACGATCTACCCTAAGCTGGACGAGCACCCGTCTGGCATGCGGTACGAGGCAAAGAATGGATGGCGAGGCGTCGTTTCCTTAAAAAAAAAACCGCCAAACTTGGGTAAAACGGGCGGTTCCAGCGAGTTAGCGGGTTCCAGGGAGGCGCCATGGCGGGCTACTTTATTACCACCTCTACGATAATAATGTGCACTTCGAGTGAGGAGGGAAATGGAGGGGTTGGAGGGGAACGGCCGCATGATGCAGGCACCGATAAAAATTCCGCAAAAACGTTCTCAACCGCGTTCCACACCCTTCGCCCCTAACTGCCACGGCGACAAAGCAAAAAGTTACGTGCCGTTTTCGCACGTAACAGGGTGTGCGACTCCATCATCATTCTGGTCCAGCTGGATTTTTCGCGCGCTGAAAATGAGCCGTCCGAAGGGCTCATTTACCTGGTTACCGCTACGGTCATTCGCCAACGGTAAAAGTTATGGTAACCGTAGGCGTACACGTTTCCATTTCTTCATGGGAATGAAACAATGTGATTATGCAAAATTACAAGCGATTCGTATACATTGACGTGTTCATATTCAGTCTTCGCCATTTTTTTTACAATATTAGTTCAGCGCGGAGTTCTATACACCACCGCACCGAATTTCACCGAGCGGTGTTCATCAACCCAACGGGATGAGTTTTGCGCCAATTGCCCGCTAACTGCTCCGTGACTGCACGAATCGAAATTAGGGTAACTGCGGGAGATCGCAGGCAGCTCGGAAACAGAGGGCAATTAGAAAAAAACACAGCAAGCAAACTGCAGGGATGCGATATCGCCAAGCTTACCGCCGGCTGTTTCCCAGCGAACACCTGCAGAGTTGCGATGCATGGATACCCTGATTGACACGTCACCATCCCCAGCAGCTCAAAGCAAACCCTCTTTCCCTAACCCACCGCTTCAGACATGAATCCCAACGGAGATGGAGGGGACGACGCAAGACCCACTGTACAAAACTAATCCTCCTGCAACAGTAGTACCAGCGAAGCTTCCGTTCAGAGTTGAGAAGCTTCCTTCCAGAACTACGAACCTTCCCGGGGACACGTCACCCCCTGGCAAGATTCGCAGGGGCGATCTGACCACTCGCCTAGCGTCACTAATCCATGGAATCTCTTCCAAGCCTCGACCGGCGGCTCGGCCCATGCCTGGCAGCCGAACCACGCAGTCAGGCTCGAATAAAGGCTCAGAATCAGAACCAGCAAGTGGTAACTCATGTACGGAACACAGCGAGGTTCGGGCAAAGGGCATTAAGGGTATCGGCCTTGCACCTGGCCAAATCACTTTGCTTGAAAGAACACCCATAAGTTTGGGTGTGGGAGCAGGTCAAGGGGAAACGAGTAGGGAAGCAGAGGGGACGGTAGTAGGAGGGGGAGGGTCACCAGCAGCGGCTAGGAGTGCTGCGCAACGGGGGTTTGGAACAGGAATGGCTGTGCAGGGTGGGGTTGGAACAGGAATGGCGATTGAGATGGTGACTGTGTTGCAGAGCCTGTCGAGTGGGCTTGAGCGGTTGAAGGAGCTGCAAGGGGCGATGGAGGCGCAACAGAGACAGCAGCAGCTGCTGTTGCAGCAGCAGCAGCAGCAGCACACGCAGTGGCAACAGCAACAGCCGGCGTAGCAGCAGCAGATGCAGTGGCAGCAGCAGACGATGTGGCAAGAGCAGGACCAGCAGCAAGAGCAAGAGTCCAGGGAATTGCATCTGCTGCAATCAGCACCACCAGTGGAGGGGCGATTGCGGCAGCAGCAGCAGCAGCAGCAGCAACGAGGTTCTGTCCCACTCCACCAGCTTCAGTCCCAACGTGTTCAACTCGCAACTCAAGCCACCTCATCCTCCCGAATCTTCCAGCACCCACTCAGCGTCGCCCTCCCCTCACGTCCCTCCATAACTACCCCCACTTCTCCACCTTCTCCTCGCCCCTCCTCCCCTCAAGACCCGCCCCTCACCACCGCTCTCCACCTGCGCCCAAACCTTCAATTCGACTTCTCACTCTTCACAGAATCGTCCCTCCGTCGCATGGGCATCCCATCGCTACCCAGCAGGGAGGAGGAGAGGGAGCGGCGGCTAAGACAACACGTGTTGGCGCTAGCAGAGGCCCATGCAGTGGGGGACTGGGCGCTGGTGCGGCGGTGGGGGAAGAAGGTGCGGGGGGAGGCGACTGCGGAGGGGGATGTGGTGCAGCGAGTGGCATGGTACATGCTGCAGGCTCTGGAAGCAAGGGCGGATGGCACTGCTGCTGTGAAATGGCGAGCGCCGGTCGAGTATAAAGTCAAGGTGGGTCGTTGCTGGTGTGGTGGTCTATGTGTGAGGCGAGAGGTGAGTGAGAGAGGGGATCTGGTGCAGCGCGTGGCATGGCACATGTTGCAGGCTCTGGAGGCGAGGGTGGATGGCACTGCTGCTGTCGAGTGGCGACATACGGTTAGGATGTGAGGTTGCTGGGACATGTGCTGCTATGCTGTGTGTTTTGCTGTGTCCTGTGTTGTGTCATGTGCTCTCCCCTGTGCTGCGTCCTATGCTATGTGAATCAACAATTGAGTCTTCTTGGAAAAACTCCCTGTCTGTCCCTTCACTCTTTTGCCTCATTTGAGCACAGCAGACGTGATGGAAGCGGTGGGCCACTCCCACGAGTCCAATATCCTGACAATCGACTTTGTCTAAGCTGCTCTCCTCCACAAAGTGCCTCGCACTCTGTGCACCACTAAATTCCCCAAAACACCTCCCTATCCCTCTCCACCGCTTTTTACCACCCACAGTCTGCAGCGGATTTGATGGCAGCAGTGGGGCATTCTCACGAGTCCAACATCCTGTCCATCAACTTCTAAATCCCCTCATATCACTTCCCTATCTGTCCGTACCGCTCTTTACCACACAGTCTGCAGCAGATGTGATGGCAGCAGTGGGCCACTTGCATGAGTCCAACATTCTGTCCATCAACTTCGTCTTTGCTGCCCTCCTCCACGAGGTGCCTCGTGCCCTGTGCACCACTACCACACACACGCCGCCACTAGCACCACCAGCAGCAGCCGTAACATCATCACCACCAGCACCAGCAACAGCAGCAGCAACAACCGCACCAGCATCCACAGTCCGACCAGCTTCAAGAGCAGCAACAACAGCAGCAGCAGCAGCAGCAGCAACAACAGCAGCAGCAACAGTAACAGCAACAGCAACAGCAACAGCAGCAGCAACAGCACCAGCTGCATTTCCCTCTTCTTTCCCCGTGCCTCCGCCCTCTTCCTCCTTGCCTCCGCCCTCTTCCTCCTTGCCTCCGCCCTCTTCCTCCTTGCCTCCGCCCTCTTCCTCCTTGCCTCCGCCCTCTTCCTCCTTGCCTCCGCCCTCATCCTCCTTGCCCCCGCCCTCTTCCTCCTTGCCTCCGCCCTCTTCCTCCGTGCCTCCGCCCTCTTCCTCCTTGCCTCCGCCCTCTTCCTCCACGCCTCCCTCCTCGTCCCCCGCCCCACCCCCACGTCGCATTCACCAAGTAATGTTTGGCATTATCGGTGCGCCTCTATGGGTGCCTCTTCAATGCCGCATCGTTGCTGCCTGTGGCTTCCCTGCTGCTGCCGCTTCTGCATCTCCTGCTGTTGCTGCTTCTGCTGGTGCTGCCCCGCTCGATTCAGCAGCACCCCCACTCTCCCCCACCTCTCTCCATCCGCGTAACAGGCATCAACGGCAGTGCTGTCCCGCTCGATTCAGCCCTCAGCGTCTCCGCCTTCGGGCAGCCGTTCTTCGGGCAGCTCGCAAAGTTTTTGGGGGTGCCCATGACCTTTGAGATGCTGGATGTGCCTCTGGATTCGCTGCATCCAGGCATGGTGAAGGTTCAGCCGGGGGAGGAGGTGGTGGTTTGCACCCTCTGGACGCTCATGCTCTTCCCAGATGACTCTGTTCTCCGCCACAACCCACGAGATGCCGTGCTGAAGGTGAGATGCGGTTTTAAGGGGAAGGTGAGACAGAAGCTGGATAGCTAACAGGGTGAGGTGGTGGTGGTGGTCTCCTTCTGGAAGCTCATGCTCTTTCCAGACGACTCTGTTTTTAGGCACAACTCAAGGGATGCTATGCTGAAGGTGCGAACTGCTGTTTTCTTGAATGTGCTCCATAATTTTGTAGGTTGATTTTGAGAACTCTCAAAAATCAACATACTCAAGGTGCGAGCTGCTGTGCTCTAGATCTGTGCTGTAGGTATTCTGTGGTGTTTACGCTGAGGAGGGGTGCAGGTGAGAGTAAAACTACCTGAGTTGTGGTGCTCAAGGCGAGTAGTGGTGCTCAAGGCGAGTAGGCCCTTCGACTGAGTCTTGTGTCGACTCAAGACTCCCCTCCGCTCTGCTCCCGTTTCTTATAAATAGGATGTCAACACTTTTTGTACTCTATTTTAGATGCTGTAGGTTATTTGTGAGTTGGGTGTAGATTTGTAATTCCAACCCTATCTAGTTGGGATTCCCCCATAATCCAACAAATCTGCCAACTCACCATTAAAAATTTGATTGGATTCCCATTCCATCCTTTCCCTAGCTTTGCTCAACCCAAACCTTGTTTGTACTGAAAGCCTAGTGCCTTTTGTTCTAATCAATCAGTTCAGCTCCATTTCCATCATGGTATCGAGCTAGTAAATTCCGCTCACGCGGAATTCGATTCTTGACGTCGCGATCGTTCTCTTCCTCTTGGTTCCAACGTTTTCCGCCTTCACATCTCCGCGCTGGTCAAAAGTGCTTTCATGCTCCGTCTCCGTGCATTTCCGATTTCAACGACGGCACATTCCTTCTTCAACTTCCTTCATAGTAGGCTCAGGAATTACAATTTTCCGTGGCAAATTTTCCACATTCTTAACTTCGAACAGGTTTTCATCGGCGCAGCAGAGCAGGTTTCATCGGCGCAGCAGAGCAGGTTCAGTGGCGCAGCTGAGCAGGTTCAGCGGCGCAGCAGAGCAGGTTCAGCGGCGCAGCAGAACAGGTCAGCGGCGCAGCAGAACAGGTCAGTGGCGCAGCTGAGAAGCGGAATAAGGGCAACGGCGAAGTAGAACAGGGGGCATCGGCGAAGCTAAGCAGCAGATCAAGATCCGGGCTTTCGTTGTCGAAATTGTGCTTTTCCGCATTTCAGATTTCCTCAATTTCCGCTCCGCTACGTATCGGTGACTTTGGCGCTGCACTCCGCGCGAATGGTGACTTCAACTTCCACCCCCGTCGGAAACCTCATCATTCTCAATCTCGCTCCCAACAACACGAGCACCAACTTTGGGGGACAGTGCTATGGGGTGGAGAAGCATCTCTTTAGCACGGAACTGAAGGGGATTTGCCTCAAAACATCCTCCCCAACCGCGGCAAGGAAAAGATGCCTCTCTCTCCCGATCCTCTTGGCGAAGGAGTCACTGTCGCAGACAAGTCCGCTTTTGAAGCTAAGACCACCAAGTATGAGACCGATTTCAGTGTGTGGGAGCAGGCGGATGCAGCAGTGATTAGGGTTTTCATCACCACCACTCCGGTTGAGCTTGTCAAATCCTACCGCACCTTTCGCTCCACGCATGACATTTGGAAGTACCTCCAAGAACGTTTCCATGACAAGACAGCAGTGGTGTTGTCATCCTCATTCCTCGAATGTTCCAGGTCCGCCTTGAGGAATGCCCTGGCATGGGGGACTACATCTCTGAGATCCGCAACATCCATGAGGAACTCAAGGACATTGGGATTACTCTCCCCGAACAGGCACCTTCAGTTGGACTACTTACCCCGACCTATAATGTTACTAGTTCTATTATAGGCAACTCCCCACCAAGAAACTCACATTCGAGAAAGTTTCATCGGCCCTCCTTTCTGCTGAAAAGGACCTGCAGCCGAGACATCCGTCAATGTTGTGCATTACAACCCTGGTATCCCATTCCGATCCCAATAGGGACTGAAGCGCAATTCCCTTCCCCCATGCCCCAGTCAACGGGAGCGTTGCAAGGCCCCGTCCTCGCTTGGGCGGAGCCAACCTTGTGGTCGGATGTGCAGGGGTTGCAGCCGACCTGCAGCAGTGGGCACGGGGGCCACTACAAGAGCGCCGAGCAGGAGGACGCCGCCATGGACGCTTGGTTGGTGTCCCGGACGCCTGGACGGCGTCCTGGGAAGCTGGACACCGAGCTGGGCGTCGCCACGACTACCCGGGCGCCTTGTCGACGTCGTGGGCGTCTGCACGACGTTCTGGAAGGCCAGACGCCGACCTAGGCGTCTGCACAGCGTCCTGGGGGTCCGGACGCCGACCTGGGCGTCCCATGGGCCCGCGCACCGACCTGGGCGTCTGATCGGCGTCCTGGGAGGAGGGACGCCGCTCTGGAGGTTTGGTCGGCATCCTGGGCGTTTGGACGCCGACCTGGGGGGTTCGGAAGGCGTCCTGGGCGCCTAGACGCCGGACTGGGGACGCCAGGCATGCGTGGCCGGCTACGGACTGCGTGGGTCGACCAGGCGTGGTTGCCCGGTCGACCGGGATACCCGGGCGACGTGCGCGAGTGTCGCCAGGGTGGAGTCTGCGAGGCCGACCTCGGTGTGGTATCCCGAGGTCGACGTGGCTGGTGGGCGCAGACGCTGGCGTGGAGTCTGCCAGGCGTCTGCGCTGTGCACGTGACAGGGAAGTGAGCGCCAACCAGCTCACGCACCTGCGAAGCAGGTGCACCGTTGTCCTGCAGGTGCAGCGCTGTGCAGCCGACTTGCTGCAGCGCTGGCACACCGTGGACTTGCAACGTTGGCAAACCGCTACTCTGCAACGCTGGAGCGGTGCGAGCGCTGCTGCGCTGGAGCGCGGTCGACCGTGCTGCGCTGGAGGTCGACTAGCAGCTTAGCTAGCACTGATGTAGTCTGTGATGCCAATGTTGTTGCTATCATTGTTGTCATGTTTTCCTAGTGAAACTCTTGCCAATTCTCCCCGTGAACTAGCAAGCAGCGTGAACACAAGGAAACGACTAAGTGAACGAACGCAGAGATCACACGAGCACACGTGCCTAGCCCGTAGCCTAGCTCCCGTTGCAGCAGTTATCTCCGTATGGTGCGGTGAGCGTGGACGACACCGCGACGTAGTTCAGTCTAGCCGACTTTGCACATACCGATCGTGTTCATAGACCGGCAGCTGTGCAGTCACTAGCGAGCGCGTAGGCGACGCCGAGGTGATGGACACCCTGGAGGGACGGCTGGAGGATGCGAGGAGACGCCATGAGGCCCAGGAGTATGGGGCGATACCCTGGGCAGTTGCGAAGCCGGACTCCGCTCCGTTTGGGCGGCGGAGCATCCCCCTTCTCGACCTGCCTCTCCTCGACCGGTGAACAACGACGGCGGCGTCGACGTGGGCGTCAACGCCGGTGGAGGTCAGGTCGGCAGCAGTGCGGGAGACACGTCGAGGCAGCGAGGTGTGATATACGCCGGTGAAGTCGGCGGCGTTCAGGCGTGAGGGATGCAGTCGTCGGTGGCTGCAGGCTCTTCGCAGGGTGACGTCGGAGGTCGACGGAGCGGGATGTCGCCGATGTCGGCGTCCCAGGTGACAGCAGGTGGAATTGCGCCGAGCTACGGCTACTTCAAGTTTACGCCGGACAGGATCTCGGTCACCCCTCCGCTGGTCGGTCGACCTGACATTCTCACCTGGAAGGAAGCTATCGAGCCCCAGCTGGAGATGGCCGGGCTGATCGGCTTCGCCCGAGGGACCGTGGCGACGCCGGGGGAGCACCACCCCGACCTGCGTGCTGAGTTTTGCGCCGTGCAGCTGTTGACCTTCACGGTCATCTCGCGGTGCTGCTCGCCGAGCGTGCAGATCGCCTTGAAGTGGTGCCGAGAGTACCTCGACGCCGCCCACCGGGCGTGGCACTTCATTGAGTCGACGTACCAGGTCACCGACGACCTGTTCATTGCCCAACTGGAGGGACAGCTGACACACCTACGTATGGGCGACGATGAGAGTGCGACCGATTACTGCAACCGAGCCAGGCGAATTCTCGCCACCATCAGGATGGCCGGCGCGCAGTACTCCACGGCGTCGTACATCACCCATGTCATGCAGGGACTCTCTAGCAGCTACAACGTGCTGAAGAGGTTGTCTATGGCGCCGAGCACGAGGGCGACGCTCAACGAGGACAACCTGACCTCGTACATCCTGCAGGACGAGGCGATGCAGGAGGCTGAGCGTTCACAGGAACTATTGGCGCAAGCCAACTTCGTCGCCCCGACGAAGCAAGGAGGCCGACCGGGGCAGCGTGGGCAGTAAGCGGCGGCGGTAGCGGTGGCTGGAAGCCAAGCAAGGACGCCGACAAGAAGAAGTCGGCCAAGGATAGCGGTCGCAGAGGAGGAGATCGACATCGGGAATGCTGGCTTTGCGGCGACCCCGACCACCTCTCCTTCGAGTGCCCCGACCGCAGTGACTCCGATGACGACGACGCCAAGGGAGGCCGAGGAAGGTCTGGCAGCCGTCGTCCTCGTCGAGGTGGAAGCAAGCCGCGCAAGGAGAAGCAGTCGACCAAGACGTCGACTTCGGCGAAGGACGCCGACTCCCCTGCTGGCGGCAAGGCGAGGGACGACAAGACGGCATCGTGCTCGCTGATCGGCGTCGTGGAGCTGACCATCTCTCTGGCGCCGGAGGCCGGAGAGGACTTCCAGGCGGTGGCGGCAGCTGTGCAGGCAAACCCGGCGGTGGTCCTACTCGACAGCGGTTGCTCCCACCACCTGATGGGGACGAAGGAAGTCTTCGTCGACCTGCAGCCGAGCTGCGCCATCAGGCATGTGCGCGGCTTCAATGGGGTGCTGCAGGACGTCCAGGGCCGCGGCACCGTCGCTCTGCAAGGAGAGGCCGGGAAGCAGGTGCTCATCCCCGACGTGCTGTACGTCCCGGGGGTGCGGGCAAACTTGCTGTCGCCTGGCCAGCTGAAGGAGCACGGCGTGAAGCTGCAGGAGGACGGAGAGGGCATGCTGCTCGTCTCGGCAACAGGAGAGGTGCTCGGCCGGGCAACGTACACCGGGCG